GAAAAGCGTGCTCTCCCCGGGATTCGGGCCTCTCATGAATTGGGGGAGGGGGGATCTCAGAAGGGGGTGTTCTGCAGACCCCCACCCCAGGCCGGGAGCAGTCCCCCCCCCTATGGACCAGAGCTGGCTTAGTTTTTTAAGAAATAGGGTTGTTTGTTTTACCGTTGTTGAGTTTTAAGGGTCCCTTGTGTAGTTCACATAATATCCTTTATTAGATGTGTCTTTTGCAGCTGTTTTCTCCCAGCCTGTGGCTTGCCTCTCAATCTCTTGATAGCGTCTTTCTCAGGTCAGATGGCGTATGTGATTTATTTTATTTTATTTTTTTTAAGTTTTGTCATTTTTTCAATTTATTTTTCATTTCACTTTTAAAAGGTAAATTGATTTATGAAGTGTCGTGATGCAAAACTATCTTTTAAAATAAACACATTTAAGTAAAAACGTTAGCCCATCTTTAAAAAAAACACTGAGTAGGTAAGAAGACAGCTGGTCCACAGGGCAGACTCCCAGCGGGTAAGGGAGAAAGGCTGGGGTCTGCCCCAGTGCTCCCCGCTTTGGGGGGAAGGCAGAGGGCTGACCAGGGTCCCTTCTGAGAGGTGCTGGGCATGCTGTTTTCCCTCCTAGAGCTTGGCTCTCAGGAGGTGTGACTCCTTGACAATGCGGAGCCCCAGGGTCAAGGGTCTGCCCTGCAGGCGGTTCTAGAATGCCCTTCCTCACCCTCACACACATCGGGAAGTGACGGATGCTTGGCTGATCACGGCTCGGAGTTCACAACCAAAGCTAACTTTCGGCAGTACTGGTAAGGCCTTGAAATTGCTGCCGGCCTCATGTCCCTGGCCTGCCTCTGCTCTCCTAGGAATCCCTGAGGCTGGGCTGAACTTGCTAGGAAGGACACTCTCATTGCCCCAGCCTGGCTCTGCAGAGTTCCAGCCCTCTGCTTTCTGTCTATGGATTTATTTTGTACCTTCACCTTCAAATAAAAGAGGGGCAAATATGAACAAGTTGCCGCTCTCATGTGTCTCTCCATCAACCTAGGAGAGCCACTGGACTTCCCCTGCTCTCCTGAGCTTCAAGAAACCAGCAAGGGGCAGGCTTCCCAGCACTTCTCCCTTGTCCCCAAGCTCTGGGAAGGGCTCCAGGAAAACCGTGGGTGTGAAATGGGGTATGCAATGAAAACCTAGAAAATCTAGAGGTTCCTACTTCATCTTAGCACAGCATCATCTAATTAGATATTAAAATTGGGAAAAAAAAACCCACCAGTTCTTTATTTGTAGATCCTCGAATCATCTTGAATAATTTCTTCTATATTAACCTGTGAAAAAAGGCCATCCAGCTGAGAAGGGAGCTTAATGGAGGCGGCAGAGGGGACACCTTTTACCTTGCCTCCCAGGATGGGATGGAGGCCTCTGCCTGGCCTGCCCCTGTGTGGTCTGGACCACCACGGACATTCCTTAAGGAGCAGCTTCCCTAACGTGGACTCTGGTTGCTTGTTGAGAAGCACAAGCTGCAGGGGAGAAAACTGAGATTTGGAAACGAGAGTATTCCAGCACTGTTCATTCGTAGCTGCCCTCACCCTGCACCCCCGGTTTTCCCAGAGCCCTTCCCAGAGCTTGCTTCAGCCTCAAGTTCCCAGATTTCTCAGAAAAGATACCAATTTAGTGTCTGATAAGATCATTGCTGTCAAACAGCCCACCTTAGTTTCAGCCAGACGGTAGCAGTGGTTTCCAGTGAAAAGTTCAGAGAAAGGTGAAACTTCAAATTTCACCTTTCCCCTCTCCCTGGGCCCCAGAGCCATGTCTGAAGATTTCCCATCAGTTTTCCCCGGGGAAGGTGAGGGCCCTCATTGCAGGTAGGTACCCGAAAGGGCCTTGAACGGTGGGATGACCAGCCATCGCCTTTTCCTTCAGACAAGTTGGACGCACAGACATATTCACATTTTGCTAAATGAGTTTCTAATTACCCATGTGTCACAGGCTGCTCCCTGACATTCTTTGGAACACAGAAAAGCAAAAATAAATAAATAAAATCCCTTACTAGAAATATTTAGGAATATTTTGGAGTAATTGATATTTTCTTGATAAATAATATTTTTGTACTTTGCTGAGGGAAAGTTGCTGCTAGAAAAATTGAGTAAGAAGTGGGAGGAAAAAGGCCTTTGGCTTTGTTTTGAACAATTGTGGGCCCCCAGGAGAGAGGAATTGTGCTTTTGGAGTTAAAGTTATTTTTAAAAATTACTAACATCACCCACTTGATATATATATATATATATATAGTGAAAGGTTTAGAGTCCAGGTAATAATTCCCGTTTCTTACAAAATCTCTGCATTCCCACAGTGAAGTTGTTTAGCGAGAAATACGTCAGGGGAGACATGAATCCAGATTTAAATGTCAAGTTTTGGCAGAGTCCAGATTGAATTATTTATTTAAAAAATACCCTTTCTTTGTAATTTTTCCCTATCGTTGTGGGTTTCTGTTTTGTTACAGTGAGTTATAAACTAAGTAGTAAAAGGAAACCAAAGTAATTTCCAAAGAAGCTGAGTCGGGAGTAGGCACCAGGCTGGAAAGAGATGGGTTTCATGGGAAAGTTTTATTCACTGACTTGTGCAGGGAGCACGCAGCTGGTTATTTTGACTGTTAACCTTTAGCAAGATGTTAAAAAAATATTTGTGAGGTCAAGGCCACAGCAGGACAGGGCAGCAATTTTAAAGTGAGAGTCTAATATTTGTGAAGTTAGGGCAAGAGTTTGGTCCCTGGTCAGGGCACATACCTAGGTTTTGGGTTTGATTTCTTGTCCGGAGGCAATCCATCAATGTTTCTCACATCAATGTTCCTCTCTCTCTCTCTAAGTCAATAAACATATCCTTGGGTGAAGATAAAAAAAAAAAGTAGTGGCCAAGGTGTTCTCATATTAAAGTCTTACATTAAAATATAAAAATATACCAACAAATAAAGCACTTCAACAGAACATAGTTAAAATATTTCCAAGGTAAACACAGGTAAAATATTTCCAAGTTTTTGAACATTTGCTGAAGTCACTAACTAATAAAATAATCCTTTCTACCTTTTTGTAAGTTAAACATAGAAGTTCTTGAGGTCCAGAAATTCAGATAGAAAGGCAGTGTTTGAGGGCTGGTTTGTTGCAAAATCGATGACTCTTGATTAGATGGTGTTGGTAAAGATATATTTAGCAATAAGCATTCAATGATTTGAAACAATATTGTTACATATTTCAATATTTCACTTAAAAGTGAAGTAAATGTTTCTTAAGAAACATGATTTTTCTGTTGGACTCTGTAAGACAGGTAAGGAATAAGGACCACGGTCAGTTTCTTAGATATTCAACTTTATTGAAATACATTCATTCTAAGGCACAATTAATATCATTAAGCCCTTTTCTTTATAAATCAAGTGGTTAATTTACTAATGCAACAAAACCCGACTACTGTAATTATCTGTTCATTGTGTGTCTCCCAAAATCTTACGTGAGAAAGCAAATATTAGGGACTGCATATATCTAGGGCATAACAACTCATTTTAAGCACAATAAACACTCTATGAAAAATATAAACTAACTTTTTTTTTGGCCAACAACTGAAAGGCAGTAATGCCGGTTGCTGATATGGCTGGGAATAAAGGCATCTGAGCGTGAATGTAAGGGACTACATGAACTTTATTGTATTAGGTTCTACTAGCCATCTACTGCTGACAGCAGGAAAAGTCTGGCTCAGCCATTGATAAGATAGAGTGAGGGAAATGACTAGAAAACCAAAGTAAATGTTATTTCCGCACTAATATTAATAATGATAATTTTTAAATATTGGCAGTACATATTCATTTAGTATTTATTCTATATTAGGTCCTAGAATAAGCTTTTTCCTTGCATCAGGTAATCTGACTCTCACCAACAGTCATTGGAAGGTCGGTTCAATTTCTACATTATTTCTCCTGAGAGATGTGGGGTTTTGAGGGGCAGCACATAGCAAAGGTAAGAGCACAGACATTGGAGACTTATGACCTTGGTTCAAATCATTAAATTTCTCATCACTCAGTTTCTTCATCAGAAATATTGGATTAAGGTTCTATATATGTAAGATATAGAAAACATATTTATAGGAAAATCACATGGTAAGATTTCTATAAATGTAAGCTCTTGTTACTAGCAATGATAAATGAAGAGATTGACAAAGTGAACTCAGGTGACCCGTTCCATGCTACAGAGCCAATTGCAATGTCTGATAAGCTTGGGTCTCTTTTTGTAGTCTAAGAAATCACCTTGATTTCATTAATCAGCATTGATTAATTTCTAAACAGCACATTCAGGAAATACAATGGTGAATTTGCAATTCAGTGTGGGACAAGAACAATTAAAACAAAAACCAGTGCGTTACTATATGATGGTGAAAGAGGGACAGATAGTAGGGAGCTTACGTCTGCACTGTTCATCTGTCTCCTAGTCCTTCACTCATGGCCCAGGTGACGATCTTAAATAAATTAACAATGATGTATGAAAGTTGCAAATTGACTATATATATATATGTGACTCCAGCAAGCTCATCAACAGGTGAAAAACCACAGCATATATTCTAGATAAAAGGCATGATTTTAATGTCAAGAAAAATGAAACCAACTAAATTTTGCATTTCATATTATCTTGATATTGAGTAACAATAAAAGGAGGTCACATTAAAGTAGAAGCAGCATAAAAGACAATGAAGTGTCAATGACAGGCTCCAACTAAGAAGGGCTCCCTCAGAATANTGTCTCCTAGTCCATCACTCATGGCCCAGGTGACGATCTTAAATAAATTAACAATGATGTATGAAAATTGCAAACTGATAACATATATATACATATATATATGTGTGTATATGTATATATATATATATATATATANGTTGCAAATTGACTATATATATATATGTGACTCCAGCAAGCTCATCAACAGGTGAAAAACCACAGCATATATTCTAGATAAAAGGCATGATTTTAATGTCAAGAAAAATGAAACCAACTAAATTTTGCATTTCATATTATCTTGATATTGAGTAACAATAAAAGGAGGTCACATTAAAGTAGAAGCAGCATAAAAGACAATGAAGTGTCAATGACAGGCTCCAACTAAGAAGGGCTCCCTCAGAATAGAGATCCCGGCACGCGGTCAGGCCCCGACTTAGCCCTCTCATGCGAGGCAGGGAAATGACAGGTCTGCAAGGGCAATCGAATGTGCCATCTGGATACCTGTGAAATGGGGACGGCTTAACGAGAGAATGCTTAATGAGAGAACACTTCGCAACATCCACAAAGCTTACGCTTCCTCCGTCAGCATCAAGGAACACACCAACCCTGCCCAGGGGGTTCTCTATGTACTGACCAGTCACTGGGGCAGTGGTCCAGAGAGTGTGACGATGACCCTCTCTCACGGATAAAAGAAGAAATGTGTCCTGGCATTCAGTCAGTGTGCCACTCTTCCGCGGCCAGGGTTCCTTACATACCCCTACAGCCCGGTCCCAGGACTTGTCCACATGCAGCTCCCATCTTTTCCTATATTAGAGTGACCTCATGACGAAGTAGGACTGTATATACCNATTCCCAGTAATATTTGCCAGAGGTGAAGACCTGGGTTCCCCACACAGCAATGCAGTTAGATGCTCCAGGATCCAGAGACACACGTGGACTGTCACCCATAAACCTCAGACTTCTCACATCGTCGAACAACCTGATATTGTGATTGGTTATTTCAGAAGTGAAGGAAACGTCCACTGTGAAGAAAAGAGAATATTCCAGTCAAAATCAATGTTAAAAATAAAATTGCCTATGAAAGAAAGGGTCTCGTTTGTGTGCCCCTGGAAAAAGAGCATTCCAACATTAGGAGGGCAGCTCTGAATGGAAAATACTGGATTCAAATGAGGCCCATAAATCTCCCAAAGAAACAAATATCTAGTTACCATGAAAGACACTTCCTAAAAATCAGAGATCATAAAGGAGAAGGTCCTGTCTTCTTCTGACTGCTTACTTTTCATAACACCTGAAAAGCTGGACACCTGGGCAGTGCCACCAAGTCCATAGCAAGAAAACTTACCTCTATCACCCCTTCTTGGGGAAGAAAAATAATTTTAGTCTAAATAAACGGAGATCACTTTGCCAGAATATGATGATACTCCAATTGACGATACTCCAGTTAAGTAAGCAACTTGACATTAAAGAAGAAACCAAAAGGCCTTCTTACGTGTGATTTCTTACTAATAATTGTCTGCCTTTGATAACTGGTTCCACCTGAGAACTTAGTCTTCCTCTTTCTGATAGACTGACCCTCCAGGTTTAGGTTTACCATGGAGCTCTATGTACGGCCTCGTTGACCACCAAATTATTTCATTGTTATTATTCATAAATTCTTGGCTTCTGCATTTAGGTTTTTTTACATTTCTGATTATTTCTGACTACATCCATTGAAACACACATTATACATCCAATTACTAAAAATTTTGAAAGCAAAAATTAAAATTTTAATTCACAGCACTTATTTTAAATGGAAATATCTGGAACTGATATCCAGTTTTCTATAGCTCAGTGAACAACTGACATTTTATGTGATGCTATTTCTAAAACTCAAGGAGCCCTTTCTTGGCACATGTCCTTTATCTCATTATATAACTTATCAAATTTATAAGTAATCGATTAAGCCTGAGGTACATCTATCATTACAGCAGCTTTGATTTTATCTTTTCCTATATTAGAGTGACCTCATGACGAAGTAGGACTGTATATACNGCTCCCATCTTTTCCTATATTAGAGTGACCTCATGACGAAGTAGGACTGTATATACCATTTTGCGGGCTATTTGCCTCTGCAAGATAAAGTTGAAGAAAGAGGAGAAGATGACCACTAAACATCATAACTGAAGGACCCCGCAGGGGGTCCCAGCAATGGGGCAGCTCACCTCGGAAGCGGCGGAGCCTGTTCATCAGTCCGCTGATGGGCCGTGCGGGGAGCTCTGGCTGCAGAGGCCGAGGCATTGCAGCTGCTCCTGCTCACTCCTGTAAGGAGGGAGATGCAATTCATCTTTCTGGTGCCGTCACGATTCAGCTGAACACTCTTCATGAACATCCTTTTGTTCACAATCATGGGGTAGAACTGTGCCATTCTAAAGGAATCTCTTACTTTTCTTCTTTGCCTGCTACCACCCCCATTTCTCAGAGGTATACTTGTCTCTATTGCTTAATTCTTAGAAAATCTAGTCTTTGCACTTTCAGTTCTTATTGATTGTGGAATATAAAACCATACACTTCTAGAAAGGTCTGCAATGAGCCTGACAACACATACCTCTTTCAGCCACAGAAGGAAAAAAAATACTAATTTCTGATCAAAAGGAACAGGAAATCATATTCTGCAAAACATGCATAAGTAGATGCACACAGAAATAATTGAGAAAATCTGAGAAATTATGTCTTCACTATTTTAGAAGTAGCTGGATCTCTTTCACAGCCCTCACAAGCCCCAGTTAGCATTGAAAACCAACTCACCTTCTCAGTTTGTCTCCTACTTCCTGTCAAAGAAAAGATAAGCTTAGACTTCTTCAGAAATAGGCTATTTTACCAACCAGTCTTTGAGTCTGGGGAAGTTCAGAAAAGTACTAATCACCTGCAAACTGTGTTGTAAATTCATTTTCCTTTTCCCCCCTAAAGATAATCCTGACACAACATATTGTCAGAATCTAAATTCTTTTTCAAATAATTTTTTAAGTTTATTTGTTATGTAAGCATAGGTGGTGTACAACCTTTTATTGGTTATATTAATTTCAGGCGTACAATATAGTGATTCAGCATTTTAAACCTTATATATAGTGATCACCCCACTAATTCTAGTAATAATATGTCACCATGTAAACTTATCACAGTATTTTTTACTGTATTCCCATTCCCCTTTTTACCCCCCTCCCCAGCCCCCACTTCTGGTAACCACCATTTTATCTGTTTTTATGTTCCTGATGAATTCAGGACAACTGTGTGTGAAAAGAGAGAAGACAAGGGTAGTGACTACATTGCTGTTGCTCTCAGCTCTCTGCATACGGGTCTTTCCTAAGGCTTGTTCCCAAGGGTAATACGCCCCAAATGAATGGCAAATGAAACCAAGGATATCCCAACAGAATGGGAAATACATTGGAGCTTCTACCAAATGTCTCTACATCACCCACTTACAGACCAAAATTAAAAGCTCTTGGATACGTTTTTCCTTCCTGCTGTTTAGTGAAGCAAGAAACAAAAGGAGGTTTTGAGAAGGAAAATGTTCCATAGGGAATCTCCATAATCCCAGTTGCAAAAAGCGTCATTGCTCATGGTTAGGTTAGGAGGAGCAGCTCATCTGTATTATTCCCAGCTGGGAGTCACTCTCCGCCATAGATGCAGGAGGTGAAGAAATATATCATTGGTACCAAGGGAAGAGGGGAGCTCAGAGGTGTAGGCTTCTGATAATATAAAGTATTCCCAGGCACATGCTCAGTTCCTACCTTGAGCATCTCTACGTCTGGTTTCAGACACATGTCCATGAGCTCATCATACATTGCTCTTAAGCTCATCTTCTTTTTGATCATTTCAGCTTGACGTTTCTCCAGTTGCTCAGACATCTTTGATCCTTCCTTAATAAGACTCTCTAAGTTTTTTTTGTCTTCTTCATGGAGAACCAGTTGCAGCGTCTCATAAAAAGCCCTGGTTTCATCTTGGCGTCTATAGAGAGATGGATCTCTCAGATCCCATACAAGGGCCAACCTTATCCTATTCCACTTAGACAGCATCTGGTTGACTGATTCATGCTCTCTGCCCATAAGTTTCACCATCTAAATTCAGGTCCTCCCACTGGTCAGAAACCAGTCATTCCTCTTTTCTTCATTTATTTTCTATTCTTATAAACCAAGGGTGGGGAATGACTGGCCCGAGGGCCATATACATATGGCCCACGAAATTATTTGGTCCACCGTTGCCAAGGCCTCGCCAAAGAGAAGCAGGTCCAACCATCACATTAGGGGTGAGTTAATTAAATGTTTGACCAAATATAGCAGGCTAATTTTTAAGACGATGATTTTGTATGGGCCTCAAATGATGTTATAATTATCCAAATGGCCCTTGGCAGGAAGGTTTCCCACCTGCTATACACTATACCAACAGCCTGGATCCTGAGCTTCCCTTAAACCACCTCCACCCACGCCATGAGTTCCTGAAACAACTCATTGATAATTTCTTTCATGTGCATTTTTTCAAGACTACAGTCAAGCAATTAAAATTTACAGTCAATTAATCAATCATTCCGGGCAATATTCTGATCTCCATGTTAGTAAATTTGTCTCTAGCGTCAAACCCTCCTACGCCACTGCTTGACCTCTCCCTCTTAGCAGTAACATTGCATTTTACTCTCGGGATTAGGAGCCGTCAGAAAAGGTCTTCCTGAAATCCTCTCCACCTAACCTCAAACTGATGTCCATCCTCTCAGCCCTTTTCCCTGCCCTCCTTTCTTCTATGGATGAGCTTCTGTCCTTCAAGGCCACAGGCTCCCATTTTGTTCTGAAGAGCAGTCATTCTCATTCCATTGTGTGTTCCCTCCCAAACGTTATGGGTCCACACACTCTCTCCAATCTCAGTGCTTCTTTCTTTACTTCTTTACTTAAAGCAATATCATTCTCTAGCTCCTGCACTATCACTTCTCACCATCACAGGCGCTGGTCTCAGTTCCTTTCTCCGTCGGGTCTGTGTCAGCCTGATTCAGGGGGAAACACGGTCTCATGCTTACCATCCAGTAGGCAGATACTCTGCCATCTTTACTGAGATCTCTTTGAATTTCTTGAATCTTTTCCCATAAAGATCTCATTTGGTTTGAGAGCTTCATCTGCAAAAAACAAAAAAACAAAGAAAACTGAATTTTAGCACCAGAGGAGAAAATAAATTTAGGTTTCAGACCCTAAATGATGGAGACAATGCAGGGATGTTAGATAAAAAGTACTTTAGGGAGAGAAGGGTCATGACGTATCCCTGTTTGGCCTCGCTAATGATAAATTTTAGAAGATTTCAGCCTGTAGAACCACAGAATGCAACGTAGTCATTTGTCCAGGGAAGCTGATCAGGACTTTACTTAGCCATGGAGGCTGCTTCTCAGATAGAGGCATCTTACATCAACATTTGGAGCTAGTGATACTTGTCTCCTGCAGGTTCCAACATACCTCATCCTACTCCTTTGTCCCATGTTGGCAGATACATATCCATTAGAAAATCCTTTTTGCATTTCCAGTTTTTACACCAGAGACTCTTTCTCAAATGAGGGCTTTCCAGTGCCTTGAGCACGGTGCTCTATCATCAAAACAATGATGGTCATTAACTTAATTACTCCCGCATTAAATGCAACCTCCATGAAGGCCGCTGTGCCAGCGTGTTCTCACAGCTTCGTTATTGGACTGAAGTAGGTACCAACACAGTCAGCATAAAGAGAGTATTTAATCACCCCCCAGCTTTCTAAGCGCTTCCAGAGGCATCACTTACCCGTGTTGCTCAGCAGCCCCTTCTGTGGGGCAGTGCCTGTGATCGCCGTGCTCCTGAGAGCTAGAGCAGCGCCAGCCGAGCAGGCCCCAGTGTCTTCACGGAGGGTCTGCTTCGTCTCCTTGTGCATCCTCACCTGTTTTCCTCAGAGCTCAGGAGTTGCCGCAGAGTGGCTTTTCTGGCCGTGGACACCAGGTTTTTCAGAAGAATACTGGTTTTGAAGTTTGTCTGCTTCGATGGCTCCCTGCACAGAGGACAGGCAGGGCTTTCGACTTTCTCCCAGCACACGCAGCCAGCGCTGACTGGATCTATAAGGTCATTCAGGCAGATGACACAGGTGAGTTCTTTATGGAAGTTCTGTGGGCTGTCTGAGTCCATTTTGCTCAAGGAAGAAAATCAGGAGTTTATTCCTCTGCGCAGGAGACACAAAGATCTAAGCAAAATTTGACTCAGGTTGTGACTCAGTAGCAGTGTGCCTGGAGCAGAACAGGTTTGATAAGGCACAGGACACAAGTGGAAAGCAGACGCAAGGAAAGCTCTCACCACCTGTGGAAACCATGCGTGGCTTTCTGGCCAACACTACCCACCTCCTGTCGTCTTTTCCTGTGCACAGAACAGAACCCCAGTTTTGTTGAGTTCTTTCTTTCTCCAAATAGTTTGAGTTTCTGGTATTTGACCCAAATTTATAGCTCTAGGTGCTGGGTCCTGAATGCTCTAAAATTCCATCTAACTCTCAATGCCAGTCATTGATTTAGCTCAAGATATTTGACTTCAATTTTCATTATTTCATGTAATTGTCAGGCATTTTACCCTGGATGTCCCTTTTTATCTCAATCAGAATCCACATCCCAAAACTTATATTTATTTATTTATTTATTTATTTAGAGATTGATCAGTTGCTTCTTCCATGTACCCCAGAAATCCACCCCGTAACCCAGGTATGTGCCCTGACCGGGAATCGAACCTGCCATATCTTGGAGCACAGGATGATGCTCCAACCAACTGAGCCACACTGGCCAAGGCCCCTATTTTTTTTTTTTTTTTAAAACAGTACGTGAATACATTAAGAGTTAACAAAGAGGAAACTAAACATTGTCAAAAAGATCAGATTCTAACCAGAATCCACTCACATGATTATACTAACATGTTTCATTTGTCCTCACTTTATTATCTATATCACTTAATCAAAGCAGCCAAAAATTAGAATGGCTGTATATTTAAAGTCTTCAAAAATGATCATTGAATACTTCTTTTCATTGTGATAAGATGTAATTTGGATATATTCCAGTAGGTGGATTGTAGTAGGCGGAGGCATGAGCAGAGCAGGAATGCTGGGCCAGGTGCAGAGGGTCACCAGGGCAGAGAGCTAGCAATGGGCAAAAGCGACAAGCCCTTGCACACCACCCCCTTAAGCATTAACCCCTGGAGAAGACATCTAGGCCTCAGCTGTGTTTCAGCTCCAAGCCCAGAAAAGCTACAAAACCAGGCAGAGCCAAGCCATGGCTGACACCAGAACCAGCTACAATGAGCTACAATGACTAATAACCCCTCCCTCTGGTGCCGACCGATCAGTGGAGACCAGGACCCTGAGGAGACACACTGGGAAAGCTGATGAATCTTCTACTGAGATTCTCTACTGAGATCTGATATAACAGTCCTCAGGATGGAGGTCCCAGCATGGCTCTTTTTTTTTTTTTTTAATATGTTTTTATTGATTTCAGCAAGAGGAAGGGAGAGGGAAAGAGAGAGAGAAACATCAATGATGAGAGAGTCATTGATCGGCTGCCTCCTGCACGCCCCCTCCTGGGGATCCAGCTGAAACCCAGGCTTTTGCCCTGACTGGGAATCTAACCGTGACCTACTGGTTGATAGGTCGGCGCTCAGCCACTGAGCAACACCTCCGGGCCCCAGCATGGCTCTTTCTATGGAGCACAGCCTCACCTTTCCCCACCCCCTTCTGCCCCTCCCTCTCTCTAGCATACTCCAAACCTCTCCTCCCTCTTTCATCTCTTGGGCATTTTGCTTAAAACTGGGTCCTCATGCCCATACTAGTTAGAGTCATCCCCAAACTTCTCACATTTCTTATATGCTCACAAGTGCCACTTTTCCGATGCCCCAATCATTTCCTACCTCCTTTAAAATGTAAGTCAGAAAACTCATGCTGCTCCAGAGACATTTACTTCACTTTAAAACAAGATTCTCTCCATGGCTGGTGTGGCTCAGTGGTTAGAGTGTTGCCCCCCCCACACCAAAGGGTCAAAGGCATGTACCTCGGTTGCAGGTTTGATCCTTGGCTCCGGTCAGGGTGTGTGGGGGAAGCAACCAACCGATGTCTCTCTCTCACACTGATGTTTTCTCTCCCTCTCTCCACCTTCCTTCCACTCTCTCTAAAAATCATGGAAAAAATATCCTCGGGTGAAGATTAACAAAACAAAAAATAAAACAATATTCTTCTCAAATCACAGAATGTTTTATCTAATTATATATTATAAATGTTACCTCTCTCATGCATATAGACATGTACATTTAGAGTAGACTGTAATGTACACTACATATAGAATCAAATATTCCTAAAAAATGTTTTTAAATCTATGCCAAGTACAAGTCTATAAGATACCTGGGCACTACTTTCTGAGTCCTTATAATACACAGGAACAACTAAGGGTTATAGAAGAAAACTAAAGTTAATTGTATTAATTCCAGCACACTTACCAAAACAGGATGCCAAAACAGAAATGGAATAATTTTAACTAAGTGGACAAACCATGTCATTTGATAGAAACAAACTCAGCTTGGTAATTAATTAAAATTAGGAAATTTTTTTGTTTTACTTTGGGAAAGTTGCAGAAACTTCAACATGGGCCATTGTGCACTCACCTAAGGAGCATATCCATGGTCTCCAGTGCTTTCGGAGGAGGGAAAAATAGGAAGAGGCCGGTCCAGCGACCAAGCCTTTAAGTGTAGCAGCAGTGGCTTTCGGAAGTCTCCTCGGCCCGGTGAGCTCCCAAAACACTCTCGGTTCTGGAGGAGGTTGAGTTTGGCTCCCTGAATAGCCTTATATTGAGTCTCCAAAGACCACTCCCATTTCTTCATTAAATTTCAGATCTCTTTATGTAGATGTTAAAAATGAAACGTTAAGTTCTTTAAACCTAAGGACTGGGTTCATTTCACACCTTTGCTAATCTCCCTAAAGATCTCTCTCTACCAACACAATCTAATCAAGAGCCACCGATTTTACAACAAACCAGCCCCCACGCGCTGTTTTTCTATCTAAATTTCTATAATCAGGACTTTTATTTTTGACTTACAAAAAGATAGAAAGGATTATTTTATGAGTTGGTGACTTTAGCAGATGTCTTTGAAAACTTGGAAATATGTTTCCTGAGGTTTGTTTAAATATACTCTGCATAGAGGAGTGCTTCCTTTGACAGATTGACTGGCTTTGTCTCTTTTGGGGGTTGTTTTGTTAATTCTCACCCTAGGATACTTTTCCCATTGATATTTAGAGAGAGCGGAAGGAACGGAGCCCAGTGAGAGAGAGACAGAGAGATGGATCAGTTGCTTATTGGATGCACTCTAGGGATCGGGAATCAACCTTGTAACCCAGATAAGTGTCCTGACCAAGAATCAAACCTGGCAACCCAGGGTTGATGCCCAATCGACTGAGCCACACGGGCCAGGGCTGTACCACAGCATTTTATCCACTCATCTACTGACGGACACTTGGGCTGCTTCCAAATCTTGGCTATTGTAAATAATGCTGCAGTGAACACAGGGGTGCATATATTGTTTTGAATTCGTGTTTTGCGTTTCTTTGGATATTTTCCCAGAAGTAGAATTGCTGGGTAATAGGCAGTTTCATTTTAATTTTTTGAGGTAACTTCATAAGCAAGTTTTCTACTATTTTATATGTTATTTGTTGCCTTATTATTCTACAGATTGTAAGATTTTAAAAACCAGTTAGCCTATCTAAAGTATTTTATGGATCTTATACATCTCTCATATTTATTTTTTCTAGTAACTAGTGCAGTAGTTTCAACTGGGGTGCTTTTCCTCCCCTTCTAGAGGTATTTATTGATGTCTGGAAACATTTTTAGTTGTCACAACTAGAAGCCTACTATGAGCATTAGTTAGGAGAGACCATGGGTTCTGATAAACAGTTTACAAGACTAAGGACAGCCCCTCCCTTCGCCCCCAATATCAGTATTTATGATGTTGAAAAATTCTAAACTAGAGACTCTTAACATGGATTAATAATAATACTTATATTTAGCCGGTAACTATTGAGAACAGGCAATCAGTAGAAGTCATGCATAAATGAAAGCTATCAGGCTGAAATACTGTTGGTCTAAGATATATATACTGTATATGATTCCCTGAAATCACATTAGAGGATTAGTGTAAAGTCATATCAACTAGAGAGTGATATTTTGATTTGGGATTATTGTCACTGTAATTGAAGATGTTCTGCCTTTTAATCTGTAAACATATTTTCTTTTTTTTCATTAAAACATTTATTTCACCTTATTTTTTAAATTTATTTTTATTGTTGAAAGTATTACAGATGTCCCCTTCTTTTTCCGCATTCATCCCCTCCATCCCGAATCTGCCCCTGCCTGACCTTCACCACACTATTGTCTGTGTCCATGGGTTATGCATATATGCATATAAGTTCTTTGATTAATATCTTCCCACCCACTCACCCACCCCCCGCTTTCCCCCTGAGGTTCATCAATCTGTTCCATGCTTCTATGTCTCTGGATCTATTTTGTTCATCAGTTTATTTTGTTCATTAGATTTCACATATGAGCAAGACCATGTAAAACTGAATCAGGAAGAATTCAGAAAACCTGAATAAGCCAACAACAACTGATGAAATCGAAGCAGTAATCAAAAAACTCCCAGCAAACAAAAGTCATGGTCCAGATGGCTTCAAAAGGAAGCTCTACCAAGCATTCTTCTTATTACAACATCCCCTTTAACATTTCTTTTTCTTTTTAAATATATCTTCACTGATCTCAGGAGAGAAAAGGAGAGGGAGGGAGAGAGACAGAAACGTCAATGACGAGAGAGTCACCCATCGGCCGCCTCCTGCACACCCCCGACTGGGGACTGAGCCAGCAACCTGGGCATGTGCCCCGACTGGGAATCGCACCCCGATTGCCTGGATCCTAGGTCGATGCTCAACCGCTGAGCCACACCTGGCCGGGCTAACATTTCTTGTAATGCTGGTTTGGTGGTAATAAACTCGCTTAGGCTATTTTTTTGTGTAGGAAGCTTTTTATTTTACCAGCTATTTTGAATGATAGCCTCCTGGATAGAGTCGTCGTGGTTTCAGATCCTTGCTTTTCATTTCCTTGAATATTTCATGCCATTCCCTTCTGGCCTATAGAAATCAGCTGACAGCCTTATGGGAGCTCCTTTGTAGGTAACAACTTGCATTTCTCTTGCTGCCTTTAAGAGTCTCTCTTTGTCTTGAATTCTTGGCATTTTAATTATGATGTGTCTGAGAATGGGCCTCTGAGTTCTTGCTTGGGACTCTCTGTTCCTCCTAAACTTGTGTGACATTTTCCTTCACCAGGTTAGGGAAGTTTTCTGCCATTATTTCTTCGAACGGGTTCTCTAACCCTTGCTCACTTTCTTCATCTTCTGGTTCACTCTTACGACGCAAATATTGTTATGTTTCATGTTGTCCCACAGCTGTCCTCCTGTTTTTTGTTTTTTCTTTTTGGTTCTCTGATTGAGTGCTTTTTTCTACCCTACCTTCTAATTCACTGATCCTTGGCTTCCTCTAATCTGCTGTTTATCCCTTCCAATGTATCCTTTATTTCTGCTATATCATTCTTAACTTCTTTCATAGTTTCCATATCTTTTCTCATGCTGCTGAACATCCTTACAATCAGTATTCTGAACTCTATATCTGATAGATTGCTTATCTCCATTTCATTTAGCTCTTCTTCTGGAGAATTCCCTTATTTTTTCACTTGGGGCTTGTTTTTGTCTCCCCATTTTGGCTGCCTGTTTGGGCTTGTTTCTATTTATTAGGTAGATCTGCTAGGACCCCCAGTCTTTTTTGATGGTCTCTGATGCAGGCCAATGGCAGACGCTGTTTGTGACTGGCCTTGGGTACCCTATTTGGAGCTAACAGTGTTCCATAGCTTGTGGCTCTCTCTGTTGGGGCTGTGTGCATTTGGACAGGATCAAGTCTGCTTTTCCAAGCCCAGATGCAGATCTGGCTAAGACTCAAAGCATCCAGAGAACCGCCTTTGCCTGCAGGCTGATTAATATGAGTCTGTTAATGAGATTCAGGCTGTAGACAGAGTGGGGCAGGAGGTTTTCCAGTGGGTGGGGCAATTGCTTCTTCCACCCCGCCACCCCCAGGCAAAAGCTGCCTGGATAGTAAAGATTTGCCTGAGAAATATGTCCTCTGGAGTATGGGGTAATGACTCAGCACAGGAATCCAGATGGGCGCCCTCCTAGCTCTATCCCCAGAGCCAGTACCCCTAGGTTCTCCTCACACAGCTCTAGTCCAGTCTGCCCTCCCTCCGCCAGAGGCCAAGGTGAGTGGCTGCACACAAAACTTTTGTGTGTTGGCCCTTTAAGAGGGTGCCTGTATTTCCAGCCATCTCTCCCTGTCAGACAGAAATCCTGCTGTTTTTCGCGGCCAGATGTTATGTGGGCACCTTTCTCAGTTCTGGTGCTGGGGATCTAGACCCCAGAGTTCTCAGTGGGAACCCCCCCTAGCTGAGATCTCCCTCCAGACCTTCAGCTGCTGCCTGTAGGAGCCCAGCCAACCCTCTCTTGCCTCCACACTTCCTACCAGTCTCTATGTGGTCTCCACTTTACGTCCTTGGTTATGAGGGTGCTCTGCAACTAGTCTTCAGATGATTATTCAGGATGGTTTTTCTATACTTTAGTTGTAATTCCAGTTTGGTCCCGGGAGAGTGTCAGTGTAGCTTCCACTTAATCTGCCACCATCACAGAATCCCAAGGGCGACACATTCTAACACCCACCCGTGGATTCCTGAAACCTTGAAAAGTAATGAATTCCTATATAACCTGTGATTTTTCCTGTATGTACATACCTTTTAACTTAAAGGAAGCACTTTATGGTTTCTATTTGACACATATGAATTGTAGCATCACTATGCTTGGGCTTGGGGCTATTAAGTAAAATAAGAGTTCACTGAACACAAACACTGTGATACCAGGACAGTTGATCTGTAACATAACCCAGATATTAAGTGCCTAATATCTGGGTTATGTTACAGATAACATAGGGTACACAGCATGGATTTTGGCCATTCTAATAGATGTATAGTGGTATTTCAGTGTTGTTCTAAAGTCCTTTCCTCTTTAAGCATTTCTCTTTCACTTTAATATTTTTAACTCCCCCATCTTTTCTCTCATCTTATGCCTGTTGAGTGAGTTGCTGGTCATTGGTTTTGTTCATCTGTAGTTGAGACACACAGTGGTAAGTCTGATGGGAAGGCACGCTAGGATGGAGCTTGGGGACTTTTCTTTTTTCCTTTTCATTTATTTATTTTTAGCTTGAGGATTTTTAATATTTCAAATGAAGCATCTTGAAGTTTTTCTTAACCTCACCTCCAAGTTGGGCCAGTTTTCATTTGTAAATTAAGTTTACAATTGCACAGCCTATGTGGCGTGTGATTATCTCATGTATTGCATCAAAGAGTAACTTTTCTCTACAGAAACATAGAATCACACATCTGGAAATAATTCACCAGGGAAATATTGAGAGTGAAGAAGTTTGAAATCCTGCTGAGGTGTCTAAACTGCCAGGACCATGTAGGTGACCCAAAGACCCAGAGATGGCATTGCCTAACAGCCAAGACAATTGGTGTGGAGAAGGCATTATAAAACTACTGGAACGCATGAAGAATAACATTCCACCCAATGACAACTACACATTTGAAACAACCCAGGCACAGACAGACTGGGGGAAAGTAGCTTTTAAAGATTTTTCTGGAGAAATGTGCAAACTCAAATAGTTAGAAATTTCTTATAAATTGAGAAAAGTTCACACTTCGAAAGAATTAGTCCTGGAAGCTAAGGAACATGTTAAAAACTCCTACAAAAGTAAAAAACTCAAGAAACATCCAGACATGCCCAAGAAGCCCCTGACTGCTTACCTCCGCTTCTACAAGGAGAAGCGGCTCCTATACTCCCAAATGCACTCCAAACTCAGGAACCAGGAGCTGACCAAGGTCCTGTCTGAGAAATACAGGGAGCTCCCAGACCAGATGAGGCTGAAATATNTGCTTCTACAAGGAGAAGCAGCTCCTGTACTCCCAAACGCACTCCAAACTCAGGAACCAGGAGCTGACCAAGGTCCTGTCTGAGAAATACAAGGAGCTCCCAGAACAGAAAAAGCTGAAATATATTCAAGATTTCCAGAAGGAGAAACAGGAGTTTGAGGAGAAACTGGCTCAGTTTAAAAAGGGCCACCCTGATCTAGTCCAGAACTCCAGGACATCTGTTGTCCCCAGAAGGAGCCCAACCAAAGGCCAAAAGAAGGTTCAGGGAAATGTGACAGACATGAAGTCTCCCCCAGAAACCCGTTTTTCTGAGTTGAAGCTGCCTGGAGAACCCAAGAAGCCCCCGTGACACCATGACAGTGAATCTGATAAACAGACAGCTCCTAAGTGATTAACAAAAAGTACTACATACAATGTGGATACCCCAGAAAAAGGGGTGATTCACATCCCAGGTGGGATGGAGCAAAATTTCATCACACTACTCAGAATGGCACACAACTTAAAACTTAGCAATTGTTTATTTCTGGAGTTTTCCATTTAATATTTTCAGACTGCAGTTGACCTTGGGTAAATAAAACTATGGAAAGCAAACCCACAAATAATGGGGGACTACTGTAACTGAAATGTGCTACTGTTTTTTTAGTGCTCATATTTATAGTTCTTTTGCAGGAGAATATTCTGATGCAAATGAAGTCTATTTGGAAAAACAAACAGAAAAATCAGAGAAATCTAAACAAAGAGACCAAGATAATCAGAGAATGGGAGGTAAGCAGTAGGCCCTGTTTCCCCTGGGACCCTCTTGGGACAGATATGGTAACTCACAGTGGAAGAACTTAAGTCATAATGTCCCTTGATGATTGATGAGAAAAAAAGCAATATGTTTCTTTATAGAGAAACATGTCCTTTAGTGTAGGATCTCATGTTGAACTCAATATGTATCTAAAAGATTTTCCCCCATTTTTTTTGAATAAAGCAATATCTACCACAAATACATCAGCAGGGACAAGGAACTGCACTGTCACAAACAGAATGTAATGATCACTGGGATGGAGGTAAAAATAAGAGTTCTATAGGAGTGTAGTGAAGTTTAAATGTTAAGAAAAGCATCGTAAACGAGTAAAAATCAATCTGATGCTAATGTGTTAGCAGAATTTGTAAATTTAGTAGTAATGTGTTAGCAGAATTTGTTAATTTCTGCCATTAGTGGCAGAAAGATCTAAGGGCCAAGAAAGCTAAAAGTGAGACATGGAATTGTTTGGGACCTGCCAGTAGCTCCTATTGATTAGTACATACGGTTTGAGGCAGGACGTGATGAGAGGGATGGCTAAAAATTTAATCCTGGCTAGGTCAAGAGTGTGAATGCCTAGCTAAGGATTTTGGATTGTGTTATTCACCGATTCACGAAAATGAATTGAGAACCTGAAACTGAGGAAGTCAGCTACATTTTTATCTTCAAAGCACTCAAGCACTTCTGAAGGAGACATAAACAGGCAGTGTTAGAGAACAGTGGTTCATTAGACAGGCCAAAGGGGAATATCAAAGTTATCTTGGTCACTCACGATGAATTTCAGAATGAATCATTCATTCACATGCGGGCCCATGCGGTATTGCTCACTGTCCCAGGCCAACACAGAGGTACAGAAATGGACAAAAACGGAAACAAATCGCTGACCTCAGGAGCTTATAATCTAGTGAGAGAATTCACTCCCACAAGGAAAAAAGTAAAATTTGTAATACATGACATTTGTGAAGTGCTTGTGACAAAATTTAAAGCAGAGAAAGAGTATAAAGAGTTCAGGTTTGGGGAATGTATGGTGGTCAGAGAAGACCCATGTGAAGGTTCCTTCAGGGGAGAGCTCATGGAGGTCGGGTGAGCCAGCAGCCCCCTGAGAATGCGTCTTTCTGGAGCAGAGTTAACAAAAGGTATTAGTCAAAGGAATGAGCAGCGAGTAGTGTCAAAGGTGGAAGAAGGGTGAAGCAATGTAAGAATGAATGCAATTACTTGGATTTAAATAAAGAAGGCTCTTGGTGAGTTAAAATATGGAAGGAAGGAGTCCTCGCCTGGATAAATATTGAAATTGGATGCATGGGCACAGTGAATTTGATCAGAATTGATCAATAAATCTGGCTTTGATGGAGATAAAAGTGTCAGCATAGAAGCTAAATAAAGTTATTAGAACAAGGATGGTTAGTTTTGGGTTTCCCAAAAATAATCAGGTAAATTTACACATGTTTAAGGACTGTGTGAAAAGAAGGGAAAAGTGTGTGTGAAAAAGTGATTGAGTGAGAGCATGAAACAGAGACAGACACACTGAAAGAGGGGACAGAGAGACAGAGACAAAGGGAGGCAGGCAAAGAAGAGAATGAATATTGTGGGACAGTAATCTAGAGAGCAGTATCTTTAAGGGGACAAGACAGGATGGCCCAGCAGGAGGAGGTAGATGTAGCCCCAGGTACTAAGCAGGCAGGCAGAGCTAATCATTGGTAAAAACATTGTTTTGGAAATTGGGGCGATTTTAAAAGATCATGTCTGATGTCTTCTTTTTCCTGAGGAAGTCAATTGTCGCTGTTTGCTGACAGCAGGACTTCAGTTTGTGAGTATGAGTATGGAGGAGAACAGATTATGATTTAGAGTTACCAAGGAATTCTAGAAAACAATATAAAAGTTGATCTTAAGTTTCTATTTTTTTTATGAAAATTGGAATTTGAGGGAAAGTAGTTGCAAAAAATGGTGCAGGGAAATAACTAAATGATAAGGAAGGAAGGGAGGCAAAAGGGAAAGAAAGAAACAAAATGCATGTTTTTTTAAAAGAGAAAAGGTATAGCCTGGCTGGTGTGGCTCAGCGGTTGAACATGGCCCTGTGATCCTGGAGATCACAGTTCGATTCCCGGTCAGGGCACATGCCCGAGTTGCAGGCTCGATCCCCAGAAGGGGGCGTGCAGGAGGCAGCCGATCAATGACTCTCTCATCATTGATGTTTCTCTCTCTCTCTTCCTCTCCCTTCCTCTCTCTGAAATCAATAAAAACATAATTTTTTTTTAAGTGGAAAGGCATAAAGCTGTACGTGGTGCTTCCGTGATCTGAACATTGTTACCCCCCTACGCCCAATCCTATGCTGAAATTCTACTCCCCAAGGTGATGGTATTAGGAGGTAGGCCTTTGGGGGTTACTAGGTCATAAGGGCAGAATCCTTATAAATAGGATAAATGTCCTTATAGAAGGGGCCCCAGAGAAGTCCCTTGCCCCTGCTGCCATTTGAGGACACAGTGGAAAGCTAACCATTGAGGAAGTGGCCTCTCACCAGACTGAATCTGTCCGCGCTGATCTTGGCCTTCCCAGCTTACAGAACTGTGAGAAATGAGTGAATCTCTGTTGTTTAAAAGCTGCCCGGTCTCTGGGGTTTTTGTCACAGCAGCCCCAACAGAACACACGTGTGCTATGTATAGCACATAGACAACAGATGACACGGGAAGAGAACACCGATGCAGACACACGGCCTAAATAACTCGATGTCACTGCGGGGCTTTGTAAACCTGCGGATGGTGATGGTCCGGGCCGAATATCCTAAGGTGTATCGATACCTCCAGGAGGAACTGCAAAAACACTTAGAGAGCCTGGCGATGGAAGGCAGCATGTTTTACCAGCAACTCAAGACAAATATAACCGGCATGATTCATGTTGGGAAACTCCTGAGAAGAATATATGTGGAGCTGAAGGAACTGTGCTGTAAAGCAGATGTGGACCTGCTCCAGGTAAGGGCTGGGAAGGATGGCAGGGTCTGAACACCAGCCTGCTTGGAAATCGTTGCTACCCACTGAAATCTGTCCTCTTTGACCTCTGTTATTTGTCTGCCTCTTCGGACTTTATGATGGCAGACTTTGCTCATCCAGTATAACCTGGTGACCCAGGGTCGGTTGCCTTATCTAGGAGAAGAAATACTATGTGAAAAGTTTCCAGTAATAGGTCCAGAAAAAATTTCCTTCTAAATTCTTCTGACCAATTGCAGCAGGACAATTTATGAACAGATATTTGAGTTTTGTTTCTGGATTCGCCAATATATGGACTTGTGGGAATTTTCATTCTTTCTATTTTGAAGGTCTAGATTTGGAGCTCGCACACCCTTATAAGAACTTTGGCGAAAACTCTGTGAATCTGGCTGTAGATTGCAACAAAGCACAGCCAGATGTTCCCCTTAAGAACATCTTGATATTAAATTTTATCAAGACCATGACTTTACCAACTGTATGTGAGGCTGAGTTTCACCTTTATAAGGCTAAAGAGAATGACAAATGAATTTGCCAAAGGAAGAGAGCTTGGAGATATTGAATTTTCCGGTCCAATTTCATATCCTCAAACTAGACTAAACAGGAGAGCCACCTTGTGCTGACAGCTAAGCAAGCCTTCCTCTCCTTCTCTTTCCAGGAGTCGGGAAACACAGTGACAAGGTACGTTTTCCCCTCCAGTCAAGCCACGGTGATTGTGCCAGGTCAGGCTCTTTCTGCTGAGAAGGACCCACACGTTCCATGAGAAGTTTCCTTCTGCCTGTATTTATTGCCTCCTTACCTAAAAGACTTCCAGGCTTTACAGTGACCGTGCTCAGGTAAAAGTAAGGACTGAGGGGGCATGGTTTTAGTTGTAAGGGCTTAATGCGGGACTTGCAAGAAAACAGCTGTTTTTCTTGCCTGTAATTTTCCAAATCCTCATTATTTGAGGACAATTTCAGGTCTAACATGGGAAAGGCCAATAAGGTTAGAGACGCAGCAGGAGGAAGGAAGGTGAGAAGAGGCCAGAGAGAATCCAGAAGAAAGAGCCCACGGCAGAGCTGAGGCTCCCTAAGACCAAGGCGGCCCTTTTCAAAACCTTGGCGCCTGCGGGGTGTCAGGAATTCGGTGAGAATTGCTGTGTGGGCTCCGCTGGGGAAGCCGGGAGGGAGGAGGAAATGGATATTTTATGAATGAGGAGCTACGTGCCGCCGGGAGGGATGTGGTAACAGCGGGGAAGCAGATTCTGAAATACAGCCGCAGCTGCAGTGTCCTCAGGTCCCGGTTAAGTTCATGCCCTTGAAACCTAACGGTGAGGGTTCTGAGGAAGGCCTTCAGCGCGTCAGGGGCCGGAGCCTGAGCCTTTCTCCGCAGGTCGCCTAGCGCAGCTGGGCGCGCCTCAGCCTGTGGCCGCAGCGCCCGGCCCGGGCCGGCCCTGGGGTGGCGCAAAGGCTTCGGCGCTCCGAGGCGAGGGCCAGCACCTGCTGCGGCGGCAGGAGCGTTGCCCACG